AAGTATGCGAGCAAACATGCAAGGTAAGCATGCAAACAAGCAAAGGATGGACTTAAGCTCGTTTGGGCAGCCCTTAAGGAAGCCCAAAACAGTGGCCATCAACCAAGGAAATGAGGCCAAATGCACATGCAAGCATACATGACAACATGGACCAACATTCAAACACATAAAGGCAACTTTTAAGTGCACTTTAAAAGAGGCATAGCATGGACAATTAACATGCAAATGAAGCTCTAAAAATCATGCTATAGGAGGTGCCAAACCAACTAAACAAAGCAAGCATATCATGCAACCAAACCCAACACCTAAGGCTCACCAAAGAGGCATTGGACTACACTTATCAAGACCAAACATGGCATGATTTAAGCAACTAAAATCAGGGTTTTAGCATGTCAAAATGAACCCCAAAAACCACTTGGATGACATCTAAATGACTTACACATGGAAGCATGCACAAATGCACTTTCAAGGAGCATGAAACACAAACTCTTGAAACATCAAAGAGCCATGAAATGCAAGTATACAAGCATGCTAAGTGGACTGAAATGACATGGAAAATAGTCCCAACTCACTAAATCAAAGCAAGTAATGCATGCTATACACTCACATACTTGAAGCCTACAAGCTAAAATGCAAAGGGACTATGCAATGCATGCTAAAGTCGACCCAAACAACTAAGGACAGACCTTAAACATGGCAAAATAAACATGAAAGCTTCACAAAGCTAGGCCTAAAGCATGCTTGAACAAGGGTTAAAACCTAGATGCATGTTAAGGCAACAAAATGGCATTACAAGGCATGTATGCTAAGCAAGCATGGTGTACCAAAACCAACATACAACAATGCTATATTATGACATAATAAGCATAAAAAACAGCCAAGGCATGGTCAACATGAGCCTAAGCTAGGTGCTCCCTCAAGAGGCAAAAAGTGCCCTTTTCAAGGACAACAAGGAGTGGGGGTGGCCCTCTCCTTCTTGGGACCTCAAGGCACCATCCTCACCTCTGAAATCCCTCAAGATTTCAGTGGTGAGGAGGCCCAAACACCAAGGTCTCGGAGCTCACCCAAAATGGCACAAAATGGAGCTTTACAAGGCTTAAGAGGGGTCAAACAACCCCAAAGCTTGAAGCAACCTTAAACAACTATTTAGAGGCCTTAAAAATAGAACTTTTACGTATTATATGCAAAGCCAAAAAATAGTTGCAAGATAGGTAAAAGTAGTGTGCAAAAATGAGGGGATAAAAGGGAAAAGTGATTACCCTTGTAGACCTTCTTCAACAATGGAGCTCCAGCAGCTTCTTGAGGTTGAAATCAACTTCAAAACTCTAAAAACAACCCTCAAGGGCCTCAACTCCAAGGAAAGGTGTGGTAGTGTGTGTTTGTGTACAAAACTAAGGCTTAAACACACACAATACAAGAGAATGAGAGATATAGATATAGGATAGATATAAAACCCTAAACCTAGAACCAGAGCTCCTCTAACAATTTTTTCTAACCCTAATGCCAAGAGAGGAAGCCTCTTCTTATAGGCAACTCCCTCTTGTAAGGCTTCCAAAACAAGCCATCCAAGAGGAAAATCTCTCCATACACGTGTATGGAGGGGAATAGAGTGGGTGTGCACAAAATATCTACTGAAAGTATATGAACAGTGATCGGCCATCCAAAATTGCCACTTTGACAAAATAAATGGCCGATCGGCAACAAAGAATGCCAACCGGCAATATATACTGCCGATGGCATAAAATCACTGGCCGGTGATGTGTGGGGATGCCTCACAAGGCATTCCCTGCCCCTTCAAGGCAAAACACAAGTGTTTGGTACAAAACCAGACACAAAATAGTTGAGTCGAGAGGTCCTGAGGCAAGGCGCGTAGCTGAGACCTCCGGGAACTCAAGACGAACACAATCATGGATGATCACCGAGTGTTCGAACGGTGACGTCCAAGTCTTGAGGACGGTCAAAAATGGG